GAGGGGCAATGACAGGGAAAAAGAATATGAATTTAGGTGTGGACAAACAATGAAAGGTTCTTAACACCAACAGTAAGGAATTGGGCTCTTTTTCAGTAAAATAATGACAGAGTAATAGCAATGGAGATTTCAAGTATGAAACAGGTTCCAGAGATATTATAGAGGTAGAAGAGACAGCATTTGACAAAAGAATGAAAGCTAAGTGGATAAAAGAAAAAGAAATTAAAGATGATGCAAAAGTGGAATTCAGGTAAGAACTGAAAGGATTTGACAGCTTTAAGCTAAACAACTTTCAATATCTGCACTGATTTGTTTATGTCAAGGGAATTTTTAAAGTAAGACCAAGCAAGATACTTGACTGATACAAATTTATTTTTCATGCTAAAATGTTTACAAATTTTATTCTGTCATACACAATTACAAGAGCAACAGTTACAAGTAATTAAAAAAATAGCATTTGGGGGCACTTCTATTCCTTTTACTAATATAAGCATGTTTTGTTACCTGAACAGCAACAATAATTACAATTACAGAACTGCTCAACTTGGAAATTTAGTGTGTTATGATGGAAGCTAACACATGATAATAGCAAAGAGTAAGTGCCCAAGCATAGTCTGTCTTTCTGTATTATTCTTTATTCCACAATTAGAATCATGGATTAGAATCTACCCGGTAATGCCATCATTCAAATATGTGACCAAACAGATCAAGTCAGCAAGCATTTTAAATCCTTTTCCAAAATCTTACTTTAGTTCTACAAAGGAAATATACAACAAAACATAAGGCATAGCTCGCTGATATTTTATGCCTAAAACAAACCATTACAAAATGAAATTATGCATCTTTTGTAACTTTGCATTTGTTCCATCTCACACAATAATTAAAAGATGAATAGTACTTACTTACAGCACTTAGAATCACCTGACCACAGCTGATACAGTATCTCCCAGACTTCTAGTTTCTAAAATTCTGGGGGAGGTGGGACAATCTGAACAGTTAATAGTCTACATGGTAGTAATATTACCTCTTGGCCATTGGCCCAATACTAATCCTTTTTGTTTTTTTAGTATATAAAATATGCTGAAAACATTTCTCTTAAATACATTTCAATTAATGTAATTAAACAGAAGGCAACAATTTCCTTCTAGAAGAGCTATTAAGCTATGAAAAACTTTCCAAATATTTGTTAAATTAATTTATGGAATATTTTTAGGGTCAACATATGTATTTATTTTAGAGCCTGTGCTAAACATGTGTAAAAAGAACTAAAAACATAATCACACTCATTTTTTTAAAAAATGGAAACTACCATTTTCATCCCTATAGTAATTTTATAAATATATCACTTGCTTTAATTCAAAGTAAGGATAAATTTCAAAAATCCACTGTGAAATTTACATTCTCACTAAGCACAAAAATACACAAATATTAGTTCTAATCAGAAATTTCAGCTAAGTGAAAATTTTTACTTTGAAGTAAGTAGATCTGGGATACAGAAGTAAAATTTTTGATCGAAGCACATCACAAATATATTGTTTTCATGTAAAAATAAATTTTTTTAAAGAAATAATGTTTAACAGTCTTTTAACCCCATCTTCTCAAACACATATATTTTCCTTAAAATAAGTTTCAGATAAACATCTCATTTAAAATCTGATTTTATAAAAAAGAGAAATAAAATTTAGTTATCCTTAGATGTATTTGAGTCAAGTAGTTGCTGCTTCCAGATATTATGACCTAAAAATCATGACACTATAATAAGTAACCTTTGGTTTGCAACCTAATACTGTGAAATTCAATTCATACTGCTTACCAATGAAGTCTGATGTATATTCGTAAATTTAAAATTTTCTCTTTTAAAAAGAAAAAAATCCTGTGTAACAGAGAAGTATGAATTTTAAAAACCTTAAAATTCATTGATAAACCATTTGTATCATACCAAAGATCTACAAAATAATAAAGTATCCTAATAGTATTTTTAAATATACTATCAAAAACCTCAAACTCTTATATATTAAGTGCAACAACCAACGTATTTTTACAAACAAAACATTTTCGAAGGCTGGAAAGAAAACACGCTAATTGTAAGAGCAGTGATGTTTGGGTCAATTCGACAGGTTTTAAATCTCAAATCTGCTACTTCCAAGCTTATGCATATTTCTTAACTTCTCTAGAATTGGATCTCCTCAGATATAAAACAAGGGGCATTGTTAGTATCTACTTTAGAGGGCGCTTCTGAGTAATAATCAGATAATGCACATAAGAAATTACTACAGTATCGGGGCGCCTGGGTGGCTCAGTGGGTTAAGCCGCTGCCTTCGGCTCAAGTCATGATCCCAGGTCCTGGGTTCAAGCCCCACATCGGGCTTTCTGCTCAGCAGGGAGCCTGCTTCCTCCTCTCTCTCTGCCTGCCTCTCTGCCTACTTGTGATGCCTGTCTGTCAAA